CTGGCGAGGTGAGGACATGCAAGAGGAGCCGCCAATGCCGCTGCTGTGCTCTTCAGACAGGTACTTGTCCTTCTTCAGAGGCAGACTGGCCTTGTCGTCCTCCGACCCACATTTTCCATCACACACATCTACATCAAGCACACTGATGCCAGACAGACAGTTCTCCTTCGGTGTCTCTGTCTGTAGAGGAGGAAGTTGGAAAGAAATGTTTAGTTATAATCAGACTACAAAGACTGGAAACTACATGTTTATTAGTTTTACAACCCAAAATTCAACATTTGACACAATCCTTAGGGTTATTTCTATTTCAAACAATTTGGTTGGTTGTACTGACCAAGAAAAATGGATGCACTAAAAAATTGACCATTGTAAGTAACTGTAAATGATAATAATAAACGTTTCTCTGGGAATATCAAGGGGGCTTTGAAAATGAGCCCTAAAATCTCTAGGAGTTTTCCTGCTTCACTACTGTGTCAACTCAGTTCTGGCTGTACAGCAGCACTACTGATGTGCTGATATTTTTTTACAGACAGAAACAGGAGATTAATTGGCATAAACACTAAGTTTACATGCACGAAAGATTGCGGCTTTTGCCCTCATTCTGGAAAAAAGAATATTCCTACCGAGTTGTTATTATGGCAAATTTAAATGAATATTCCACTAATATTCCCATTAGTATGCACCTGCTAAGGAGTAACAAGGACTAATAACGGGCTAGTAACAAACGATAAAGCTTAATAATGGATTGATAACATTATTGGCTTTCGGTGACTTTAAACTTGTTTTGCCACGTTTTATGCTGTTTTAGTGTTGATTGTTTTTTTGCCTCCTAAAGCCTCAGAATAGGGGATTTTAGACACATTTTGGAATATTGAGGGAAACTTTAGAGAAACTGTGTCAACATTAAGCCCCATTTGAACAACGGGAATAACACCAGTAGTAGGTTGGATGCCAGTAATGGTTTTGTCATGTTTCTTTTTCTGGATCTGCATCACTTTATACTTCATTAAGTTTATTGCCATTAGCCCATTTAACTCGACGATCCTAGCCACTATGGTTGCTACTGTATGTTACTATATTTGCTTGATAGACATGTCCTGAAGGTAACAATATTGCTATGTGTGAAAATGAAATGGTCAAACTGCAGGAATTAATTTGTTTGGCAACACTGTGTAACATTGATTAGCACAGGAGCTACCAGGTAGAGAGCAGTCAGTGCGTACTGGCCGATGAAGTTAACCTAAAAACAATGTGTGGATGTTTCCTACCAACCAATCGATTAGTTGAAGAGTAGGTATAATTACAAATGACGTAGATTTTCTTTGGTTCACTACACCCGTAGAGTTTTTCTTGCAAGCCAACATGTAACGGTACAGATTCAAAACACAACCAAATCAGGATCAAACATTAGACAAACACACAGCATTATGGGCTATTAGTTTACCACTGTGAAACTGGAGGACAAAGTATTTTATTGGCACTTTTGGCACAGATTTTGTTTTTGTAAAAAAAAAAATTGAGCAGTGAGTATTCAGTACATAACAATGGTTTAGATTTTTTCAAAAGTTTTAAACTGATGGTATGCATTATATAATACATTAAAATGTCTCCTCTGTGATGAGAGTTAAACCCTGCCCAGTACAGTACGCCTAAAATAGATTAGAACAGAAATTAAACTGGTTATTGAAAAGTTATTAAACAAAACTCTGAAGATGCCCTGAAAAAGTCACTGAGTCTTTTAATTGCTTCAGCTGATTTAGTGAGTGGTTAAGAGTAAGGCTGCAGCGGTCAGTCCCCGAGTGACTGGGCCAGCTGCAGGTTGGAGCTGGGACACAACATGGAGCTCAAGAAATCTGCTTCATGCAAGCAAACCTTCTACTGGTTATATTGTTACATTCACTGACAAACACTACATTAGAATAGAATAGAGTAATAGAATAGAATAGAATAGAATATACTTTATTGTCTCCTAGGGGAAATTTGTCATGGACTCAAAGTGCGTAGTGCTTAGTAGTAGCTGCCCTTACAGACAACACATAAAATACATATAACAGCTGAAAGACATACAATGTAGGCTACATACACACATGACACATCAATATCTCTCTCAACAACACA